CCATGTGCGAAAACAAAGGCACTGCTCATGCGCGTTTTACCCATGTTCTATCGCGATGTTTCATTTTCTTCTCGTTGCCCGATATGGCCCAGCCCTACTATTTACTTATCTTAGTCTCTCTCTTCTCACACATAGCAGGAACACACACATGAACAACAGGAAGCACACTTGCAAGATAAGAAACATTCAACCACACTTTGCAGCTAAACACCACTATAAACAACTTTCTAACGAACAAGCAGACTCAAAAGAAATTTCTTTGATTTCTCTTTCAATCTCGTTATCTCAGTCTCACCGTTTCATCTCTCATTTCTATGTCAGTTTTATTCAAAATAATTGATCGTTTTCGCAATAATTTTAACAAAATCCTCCAAACCACAGCAAATTGAAAATTGTTTATATGACTGCATGTTTCTAGTCACAAATGTTCCATGTTTTAAATAACTGGAACTCATTTCAGTCACATCCAGTAGTTGTGCAAGTGCACGTAACTTCCACACTTTTTAATTTCTGTAAAACTGAGATTAGGAAACATAATAAGAGCATCAACTTCATTTTGTCATGCTTCTTATCTCAGTCTAACCAGTCTCTCAGTCCTCAGAGCTTTTAGTTAAAGACGGTGTGTACCTTTTTTATGAATACATGCCTTCTTGTTTTACACTTACCCATGACAACTTGCCATCCTCCCTCCCTTTGTTGCCACAGTGCTTTGCATTGCATTGCCAAGCATCAGTATGTTTCCCGTGTGCAACGACAGTAATGACGATCATGCTGGGCTGAGGTGGATGCATGTGTGTCGGTGAGGATGTGTGTGATAGAAAGAGTGGCGCTTCTTGCATGTGGCACACAGAGAGTTGGAGATGGAGGCAGCCGAGCAGTAATTAGCGTTGCCTGTCATACCAAATCTCCATGGAGACGTGTTCTGTAAGTCATCTAAACCTTTGGTACATAATTGTGGAAGCTCAGGAGAGCAGGAAGCACAGCTGTGACTGCCGTTACACCACTCTGAACAAGCACAGCATCAACCTGTATAGTCTGGTGTTCGCTCTATAAATAGCCATACAGTAGAGGTGCTGTGATGACACAAACTTTGCAATGTGCAGTGGGAAGAATATGTGGATGCAATGCAAGCTGTGAATGAAAATAACAACGCACGACGCTCAGTTTATCTTCAACATCTGGGAAGAAATTGATTTTATTTGATTTTCTGCATATAAATGCATGCCTACATGGTTAAACATCACACCCACACACTCAAACAGGCACACACACATACACACATGACATCTTACTGGGTTAAAAACCATCACGGTCACCTATACAGTGCATACCGGGGAAATGTTAAACCAGCCGACTGTAATTGACCGTCATATTTGAGTACACGGAACAGGGAAAACAGGAAATGAGGCTTAAAAGGTGAATTATTAAAATAAGCTTTCATTGGTCAACAGCAATTTTAACGTTGCATTCACATGAACAGACAAGAAAAGAGCTTAATGACCTAGAGTATTGCACTGTGCTACATACATACAGCTGTGCTTATATATTACAAACATCTGCATCAGCATAGAAAGATTCTAATGAAGGTAAAATGAGCTTTCCCTTTGTTTGTTTAACATAAGGCCACTATGGTAGACCATGAGGACTAGATTATAAGTCTTGAAAAAAGAAAACGACTCCTGCTTCTCTTTTCCAAATATGTAACAGAGTTTTTACAATACAAGTAGAAGTGTTAACTTACCAATTGAATTACGCTACTGCACACATTTAAACTCCATTACTCAACATGAGGCACAAGTGGAGATGATGATATTGTACTGTATGTATCTTTACCAACATGTACTGAAAGTCTTTTACCATCTAATCTAATTGAGTTTACATTTGGTCCTCACTCAACCAGTAATGATACATCAATTGTGTATAGCTAATGTAACTGACAGACAATACTGCTCCATTGATTTTCTTTTCTTTTGTTAAACTCTTATTGTACAAGGATTTACAAACAATGTGTTTCCTGGCCGGGTTCGTATCACGTCTAGTCCCTGGCAAAGTATCTGCATGTTTCCATGTGGTTGGTTCTAAAAAGCAGCAGAACAGAGACCACATAATAAAATAAAATAAAAAAAATGTGGGTCTAATTTGTTGACATCGATCAGTGACTTCAAGTTTCCATCTTGTCCTTTTTCACAGTAGGCGTTTTGCTGTACAAACCTATATTCACTCCTTATACAATGTAGAGGTTTTGCTGATGTGTGTTGACTCCCAAAATAGACACATGATAATAGAAAGTAACATGGTAACGAATGTAATAACACATAAAAAAGGATGTTTACAACAGACTCACAAAAGCCCCTGAAAACTTTCTTTAAGTTTTAGGTCTGTAAAATTTAATATTCACAATTACATTTTTTTTAAATCCAAGTTGACTAAGAGTGTCTTTTTTGAAAACCCAGATTATCGAGTGTGTGGTTTCAATTTGAATTATAGTGACCGAACGCCAGATTCAGATTCAACTGGTGCACGGAGGAATGTAATATCACACTTAGGGATGCACCGATACCGGTATCGGGTATCGGGGCCGATACTGTAAAATGTGTGTGTACTCATACTCGTAAAAGTTAACCGATACCATGAA